AAAAAAAAAAAAAAAAAAAAAAAAAAAAAAAAAAAAAAAAAACCAACAACCAAAGTGACATGAATGAAAATCATTGCCGATGTACAGGAGAAAAAGGAAAAGAAAAGAAAAAATTTATTATTATTTATTATTATTATTATTATTATTTTCTTAAACAAAACAACAACAAAAAGAAGAAGAAGAAAAAGAAAAAAAAAAGGATCCCTGCATTGTCAACAATGGCAGTAGTGATGACAATTGTACTGCAAATGTCTGTTTTCTTCTCCTTCTTCCTCTTCTTCTTCTTGTTGTTGTTGTTGTTTATTTCCCTCCTTTTTTTTTTTTTTTTCTTCTTTAATGCTCTATTGTTTCGCAGCTCACTTGTCGTCCAACATTTCCTCCCTCCGCCCCCCACTCCCACTCCCTGCTTTTCCTTCTTCTTACGTGCATACACAAATACGCCTCCATGTTTCACTTCCCTAAAATGTCTTCCGCCTCCTCTCAACCCCCCCATTTGTTACTTTTTTCCCTTTTTTTTTTTTTCTTTTTTCTTTTTTTTTTGTGTGTGTTTTGTTGGCCCCGCCAGTCCGTCTCAGCTACGAGATGCCTACGCGGACATAAACCACACCCCCAACAGTACGAAAAGCACCGCAAGTACTATCGCTGTTTTGGTTTTCCATTCCTTCTCCTTTTGAGCCATGGCACGTCGGTTTTTCTCTGCCAGTGTACTGACCTCCAGTTCCCTGGGGTCCATCTTGGCCGCAACGGCGCTGGGATTCGAGCTCTCCGTGTGTCGTGGCGATGCCGGTCGCTCAGTAGCGGCAGATGGCAACGGGGACGGTTTGACATTCTCCGCGCCGCTTTGCCGCTTCTGTGCCTTGGCAGAGGGTTCAAGTCGACAACGAAATTTTTTAAGGTGTACTTGTCGCTTGTCCTCAACCTTCCGAGCCTTGACGATGTCGGACACGTTGGCACAGTGAGGCTCAATGACATCGTTCGGTCCAATTACACAGTACTCAATGCGGAAGTCGTCATATTCCTCATGAATCTCCTCCTCGTTCAGGTTGCTGCGGTTAAGCATCACCGTAAGGCTGATGGATGCATTTGGCTTAATCACCCCCTTCCTCGGTTTCACCAAATATCGCAATGGGTTTGTCGTCAACATACGGAACAGCACAGTGTCAAACGAAACGTTAGTAATTTGTACCACAAATTCCTCCTTAACATAAGGGACAATGTTAAATTTCTCAGGGGAAACGATTAGTGCCGCATTTGTTGGGGCAGGGACGTTACTACCGTCTATATCTGTCATTTAACTTCCTTCCTTCCTTCCTTCCTTCTTTGTTTTTTTCTCTCTCTCTCTCTCTCTCTCACTGAAATTACTCACTCTTTTACCTTTCCTTGCTCTTCACCTCGTAATTGTGTGTATGCAATGCCAATTGGCACAATGGGGGAAATGTGGATGGAAGACAGGAATACATAAATACACATATACAGAGAGAGAGAGAGAGAGAAACAGGTGCGGGCCTTCCATGCATGCATCCCTTCTCTTTTCTTCACTGCATTATGGACACGGCAAAACAAACAAAAACAAAACCAACCAAACACACAGACACACACACACACAAAAAAAAAAAAAAAAGAGTCGTCGTATGTCAAGAGAGTTGTTTATGTTTATTTTTTGTGATGTTTGCATGCCATGTTACTTCTCAAACCAAAGCACCGGGCCAAGGCCTGTTCCCACAAAACTGCCTCGCACCTCCATTGGGGACTGCGACGTCGGTGACCCTTCCTTCCCATCAGCAGAAACACCGCTGTTGATGATGATGTTGTTGATGTTTTGACTATTCGTCCCAACATTGCTGTGGAAATCAACCAACTCACGTACAATGACGTGCTCAACCTTCACAATCACCTCATCCCCGTTTTCATACGGGTTTAACGCCGACTCCAGCGCCCCCTTCTCTTCCCCCTCCTCCACGTCGTCCTCCTCCTCCTCCTCCACGTGCAACACCCAGCACTTCTTCTCCTCGTGATAGGAAGAAGGCGCGACAAGGAGGTCACCAGGGACGAAGAATACAAATTGAAAAAATTCCAACGTAAGAAAAATACCTTCACGGGTCTGCGCACTAATTGTCGCGCGTAAACGTGCCCCTGGCGTCGGGGCAAAAATACAAAGTCGGAATTGAGCCGTAAGCCACGCCGAAGCGGAGGGTCCACGCACGATACCCTGTGTGTACTGCAGGATATCATGGATGGCTACACACAGCCCGCAGCCAGGCACAATCTTCCCCACATACCGCTCTGTAAGCCGATGCATGAGAATATCCTCAAATGTAACCTGATAATGTTGCTTGTCGAGTTGCTCTTCCACATCTTCTTCCGCTACTTTTGCGGCAGCAGCAGCAGCAGCGAAGGAAGAGGTGGAAGAAACGGTCACTCGCCCCTGGAAATACACCGGTTCCACCTCCAACACATCACGTACAACGTAACTGTAAAAAATAGACATCCACCCTCTTCCACCTTATTAAATCCCTTATATACGCCGGGTGACAGGTTCCGGTGAGGAATGGTGGAGAAAAACCACTCGACGACGGCGTCAATGCGCGCAACAACAACAACAACAACAACAACAAAAAGTGACACGCACGCACACAAAAGTGTGAACGGCGGCTGCTCTCCTTTAATCCGGGAAAGTGGGGAGAGGGGGACAACAAACAAACAAAACAAAACAAAAAAAGAGCGACAATTGCACAAGAGTCCTCAAAACGCATGCAAATACAGCAAGACTCTCAAGACACAACAACGGTATATATATATATATATATATGCACGGAACAGGAACAAAATTACCAGCGTCGACAATAGATTTAATTATTTCCTTTCTGATTTAATTGTTTAATGTTTTTTTTTTTTTTTTTTTTTTTCTTTATATTTCGTGTGTGTATGTTTGTTTGTTTGTTTTTTGCCTTTCTCCCCGTTGAATCTGGGTTTCCCCACATCAGAGCCACAGCCAGTGCGCAGAACTCACCCACAAAAACTTCCCGTCGTCATTCTTCCTCCCCAATGGAAACAATATATAAATAAAAATAAAAATAAACAAAAGGGGGTAAAAAGAAGTGTGTGGAAACATTTGGAGCATCTTTCGGTCGAGAGCACGGCAAACATACATGCATACAGCCTGTGTGCCATTGGTCGCATCACCCTCGCTGCATTTCTTACATATACATATACATATATATATATGTATGTATATTCTTATCCAGTTTTAAAAATTTCGTAGCGTCGCCAGTGGGCACCGCGGCAGAATACGGAAATACACGACCAACAAAAAAAACTGCAGGAACGACATTACTCCCAGCCACGTATTACTAATATCTATCTCTCTCTTTCTCTCTCGCTCTTTCTCTCTCCTTTTTTTTTTTTTTTCTTGTTTTCCTCACCCTGTCTGCTTCCGACTTCGACAGCATTTCCTCCACCCGGTTTGTCAGATGGATAGATGGTGTTGTCCCAGGAATTTCGTGCGTACATGCGTGCGTGTCTGTCTGTGTGTATTCTTTTCCTTCTTCCTCGTTCCTTTTCCCTTGTATTCCCTCAGTTCAACTTTACCGGTACGCCACGTCGGATAATACCCCAACCAATGAGACGGAAGTTCTTCTCCACCAGTCGAGAGATGGCAATGTGTTCGTCCAGCGTGCAACACACGGGGGTCACTAGAGTCAACTTCGCAATGTCGGGGTTTTTCGTGATGTTTACTACAGTCGCGCCTGCTGTGAGAGTGCCCACGTTAATCTGAAGCGTCTCCTGCAGGTTCAACTTCTGTACGCGCTTCGCATTGCGATCTCGCTGCTTGCTTCGCCCAACCATCTCTTCAAAGAGAAAGTACTGCACCTCAATCTCGGCATACACCTCCGGGAGAGATCCCTCATCGGCAATCATGTGACCAACCATCTTGTCCTGGCGTGTCAATGTTGGATCAAGTGTGGTACCAACGGCAATTAACCCACCAGGGACCGCGTACTGCAGTGAATTGTCCTCCGCCTTCAGCGTTAACGCGCGTGTACGCAGGGGAGTGCAGCTGAAGGTTCCACCCGTCTGCGCATGCACCTGGCCGGGGCGAATCTCCAGGACCTGATTGACTCGAATAATGCCCCTTGTTACAGTGCCCCCCGCCACGCCGCCACGCAGGTTCTCAATGTCCACTTCACCAGGTTTGTTGATGTCAAAGGAGCGCACCACCGTCATGTGAGCAGGGCAATTTAACTGACGGGTCGGAAGAGGAATATGGCACAAGTACTCCAAAAGGTAATCGATATTGCGTTTAAGCTGAGCGGAAATGGGGATAATGGGAATATTAGATCCAATTGTGCTGTCAATGTAGTTTCGAATCTTGTGATACTGGTCTTGCGCGTGTACTTCGCCAACAAGGTCAATCTTATTCTGCAAAATAACTAGGTTAGCTAGTCGCATAATCTCCACCGCCTTCAGGTGCTCAAGTGTCTGCGGTTGCGGAAAGGGCTCATTGGCTGCAATAAGAAGAAGAGCGGCGTCCATGATGGCCGCACCGTTTAACATCGTTGCCATCAGCACGTCGTGACCGGGGCAGTCCACAAATGAAAAGTGACGCTTCAGTGTTAGCGGCGAGCCACACGTCGGGCAATCCGTTTTGTCCGGCTGCGACGAGGGAAACGCGTGGAAGGCGGCTGGAAGCTCGCACTTGTCACACTTGAACACCTTGGCGTTGGCATACCCGAGATGAATTGTGATGTTCATCACCGCCTCGCGGTGATACTTCTGCGTCTTGACGCCGCTCAATGCCTTCACGACGGTGGACTTTCCGTGCGCCACGTGACCAATGGTGCCAATGTTAACCGTGGCCTGTCGAGACATCACCTCAAACGTCTCTGCGTTGATTTTGTCAAGGTTGAGCGCGTTGATGTCTTGTGTTGCCAGTCCGCGTTCATTTTGCTCGTTCGTCACAAATGTGTTCTCGTCCATCGTAAAGTCCGCGATGTCATTTTCGTCCATCTTTGCGTGTATATATATATATATGCCTGTGTGTATTCGCTCTCTTATTCCTTGCAATGTGGAGATTGCGCTGCGGAGATAAAAGGAGAGAAGCGAAGGCTGCTGCAATCAACAATTTCACCAATGAGAGGCACACCTCCAAACAAACCCTCTTGAACCAACGGAAAAACACACACACACACAGAGAGAAAAAAAAAGAAGGCAGAGAAGCTCTCCCTAGCCGATATACGCAGAGTGAAAACGTCACAACATAGGCAATATATATATATATATATATACTCTAGATAGATAAAGAGAAAGAGAGAGATAGAAATGACACCGTATCTCTCGGGTCTG